AAAGCATTTCTGCACGATATAATGGAGAACATAATGACTATTGGAAAAAGATTGTACCACCAGATCTGATTTAATTCCAGAAATTGTACATGTAATCCTTTTTGGTTCCAGGTAGCTTAGTAGATATAGGTGGTTTATACTGGCCCCAAGAGGACAGAAGCCCAACCATAATCCCAAATTAATATTAAGGCCACAGCAGGAGAGAGGAAAAATCTAGACATGAGATGCAGGTTTGGGAACTGAAGAAATAATTTCTAAGCATGCTTTTGATAGACTAAAGAAGAAGCTTATGCACGTCCTTAACAACAAATGATAAAATTCCATTTCAAAAAAGAATGCTTAAGCATCTGGAAGACAGTGTACTTTCAATTGCATGCTCTTCTTCGCTCCTTCTCAAATGGAGTCTAATTTTAATGGCAAAATTACTGGATCACACTTATTAGTGGCCAGAGTAACTTACATTAAAAAGGAAGCATAAGGTTTCTAGTCATTTCTTTTCTTGTACATTCTTAGGTAACAACACCTTTTCTGTCCTAAACCTCATTTATTAAGGGAGATGGTAAGATTTAGATAAGGGTTTTTGGTTAGGAAAAGGGTATATTTTTCAGTTCAGTCTTTCAGAGCTCCAATGACAACATGAGATGTAATCATCCATTTGTTGTTATCTGTGTGTGTAGTTCTCCTGAGAAGGTAGGTTGGTCTAAGATATATTCAGATTTACTGGGTCCCAAGTCTTCCTACCATCTTAATGACTTCCAAATACCTCATTGAATTCTGGAGGGTTACAGCAGCTTCTTTGAAAAAGTTATATTGTAGCTTTGCAACAAATAGGATCCTGGGGGAAGCAAGAGAATAGATAATCAAGAGACAGCATGAGGGAGAGACATAGAAATCACCCAAAGATTTGATCTAAGACAAGAGATCAAAAAGAGAGATTAGAACCAGGCAGTGAAAAATACTGAATACTGTTAGGCTTTGTCCGTTGTCTTTTATTTGATGGGTAGTCAGGAGCCATTCAAAATAATGTATATACCTGGGTAGCACCAGTGGACATGCTACTGAACTGAAATGTGGGACCTGTCAGAGAAAGTGCAGGCCTCTGGCTGATTGCCAAATGGAGCGTGATTAGCCTTGGCTTTGTCTTGAAAGGTTTTCCTCTAAGATATTTGGGGGCTTAAAGATTTCTGTAGAATAGTATCATCTATATATATCGTCTAAAAAAAGTCTTAATTTGCAATGAGCATGATTTTTCTGTAGTGCCGTTAGAAGCAACATCCTATCAGCTTTTATAATGCCTTCATATCATTTGCCAGCCATCCTGTTTGCCTGGCAGTAGAGAAAAGAAAAGGATTCCTTCCTACTATCTGTGTTCCACAGGCAGTGGATGGACCGCTGCGTACTGTGATTTGCTTTTTGTATGAATCTTCAAAGCGAACATGTGACTTTCTAAGGTTTGTATTTGTTTTAAACAGAAAACATTTACCGATCCCTTCCCCCAGTCCAAGCAGCAATTATAAACCAATGTGGATTTGCTATTCAGCCCAAAGAACTTTTCATCCTTTTCTCTTCATTTCTCTGTGCTGAGAGCTCAAAGCTGTCTTTTAGTCAATATTCAATTAGGATTTGAGTCAGAAGGCCATGTTGAGCTTTTACAGAGGGACACAATGCAGTCACTGCACTGACCTCTGTGTGTGGAAAACAATTCATCACTTTTCACTTAAATAATGTAGGCCTCCTTCATTGTAAGTTAAATATGCAAAATTGTTTGCTTTCTTATGACCTGGTAATAAATGATGGCATTAGAAAAGAAACCGAAATTCAAAATTATGCCTATTTTATGTGCTGAAAATTTAGATCTATGATTTAGAACATTTTCTTCTTCACTCACAGTGAAGAGAACTCTGCTTTTCCTGTTTTGTGTGCTCATCCAAGTGCTTTTATGTAAGGCTTCTCTAATCACTACCCTTTGACATACTCTTTTGATTCCAGCATAATTTATTGCTCAACGTTATCTTTGTCATTGAGCTTTGGTTTCAGAACAAAAATAATTCACTCCCATGATTTGAAGGAATATCGAACAAAGATTTTCTGCAAATCTGACGGCAACAGAGATATTTAGAACACGCAGTCATTTCTTTTGATTTACTTACACAAAATTAGCTTGTCTACTTGAAATGCCAAGGTCTTTGGTATAACTGTTTAAAGATATTTATGATAAGTGGGTTGAATATTTATATTAGTTCCATATCCCCAGACTCAGATAAGCAATACATAGCATATTATTAGAATGATATAGATAATTTATAAAATTACCCAGTGGCTCCAAACAGCACGTCCAATCATTTGAGATGATTCAAATGAAACTGTTAATTATATATTGTAAATGTTTATTTTTTAAATTGTATTATTATTATTTTTGGATTTGGTGACCATATCTGGTGGTGCTTAGGGGCTAGTCCTGGTACTTTGATCAGGAAGTCATTTTCAGCAGAGCTTAGGGTATCTCGTGGTGCTGGGGACAAAAACTGGTCTGGCCATGGGCAGAACAAGAATTATCTATCCCTTGTGCAAACTCTCTAACCCCTGCAAATGTTTTTAATCTGTATACTATGCTTTTTGTGGACATTATTGGTTACTTACCCATTGCTTGTGCCCAAATTCCAAACAGAATTAAAGGTTTTTCAGGCAATATTTTCCCTCTGTCCCGAGCTAACTAAATGTAGATTAGTCAAAACCATTTAGCTGCAAGGCACTGTTCTAGAAATGCAATTGGGGCATATGTGACCTCAGGACCCAAGTTGATTTACTCTTCCTTTGCTGATTGACATAGCAAGAAGTCTGTGCCACCACTGCTTCTAGCCCTCCTCGTCAAATCATGAGGAAACTCAATGGAGGCTGAAGATAGTGGAGTAATTGAGATACGACAATAACTTGATTTCTGCTGACAGTATTATGCTCCAGACCTGGAGTCTATCTTACACCTAGATTTTCACATTTGTAGTACATTTCCATATGTAAGTCATTTTTGGATGAAATTTTGCTTAGAGGAAAAACCATGCACTAGACCATGCACGATTTCTGACAATCATCTGCCAGTGTGTATGTTCTAATATTGTGGCTACTGTAAGATGGTGCTGCAATAAACATAGGTGTGCATATACATTTTTGAATTAGTGATTCATGCTCTTTGGACAGATAGGAGTATGATTGCTAGATCATATGGTAGTTCTATTTTTAGAAACTTCCAAACTGTTATCCATGGCGGCTATACCAATTTTCATTCTCATCAATATATAGAGGTTTCCTTTTCTCTATATCCTCTCCAGTATTTCTTTTTCCTAGTGTTTTTGATATAAACCATTCTTACAGGTGTGAGACGGTAACGTTTGGTTTTGATTTGTATTTACTGATTAAGCATTTTTGCATTTGCATCTCTTTTATACATGCTACTGCCTTATTATGTTTCTTTACAGTTTCTGATTATGTTCCATTCATCTTCCATTTATTATCAATTTTCAAGAGCTCTTCCTATTTCATAATTTTTTTCCTACCACTTTTATTTACTTTTTATTTATTTTTTGAGATTTTTATACACTTTATTTTCATAAAGTAGTTCACAATAGGTATTACAAATAATATTCCAACACCCACCCCACCAGCCAGCATCTCCCCACCACAAGAGGGAAGTGTGTGAAGGTTGTTGTATTTGATTCTTGAGCCATTTAAGGCTGTATATAAGAGAATACAAGCAAACAAAACGAACACTGTCCTCCCATTGTTCACCGATTTGCTCGAGCGGGCCCAGTAACATCTCCATCTTGAGACTTGTTGTTACTGTGTTTGGCATATCGAATACATCATGGGTAGCTTGCCAGGCTTTGCCAGGCTTTGGTAGCTTGCTGGGCTCTCAGAGAGGGGCGGAGGAATCGAACCCGTCTTGGCCGGGCTGGCTGCGCACAAGGCAAATGCCCTACCGCTGTGCTATCGCTCCAGTGATAAGAGAACACAAGCAAGTATGTTAAAACCAAACAAATGTGTTCATCAGTGGGCTAGAGTATAAGAGGTCTCCAGGAAATACTGCATCGCTCTCCTGGGAGTTTTATTTTATAGTCTCTGGCTCTTGGCCATTGATGAGATTACATGGCGAAAACTGGGGAGCTGGGTGGAGGAGGCCCAGTCTAGATCCGAGCAGGCTTGGAGATCTCAGTCACAGGTCCCACATACCTGGGTTCCTCTGTTGATTCCCTCATGGGTGAGGCTTGTCTGAGCATGTGGGAAGTGGCCTTGAGCGTGGCTGCAGCTGGGTTCTGGAGGTTTTAAGCTGCAGGGGTTCTGCTTGGGGGAGGGAAACTCAATCCACCCTCTCCGAGATGCCCCAGTATAGACATCCTGGGGTGGGGTCAGGAGATTCCTACTTATTTATTTTTGTTCCGAATCATACTTGGAAGCAATAACATGTAGGGGGCCATGCAGTACCAAGGCTCAATTCTGGGGCTCTAGCAAATATGGTGTGGGTTCCAGCTCCATTGAACAGTCTCCGAAACCTTCACAGAGGGATTTCATTTTGATTTTCTTATTCTACCACACCTGGCAGTCCTTGGGGTTATTCCTAATTAGGTACTCAGTGGGTCACTCCTGACAGTGCTTAGTGAACCATATAGTGGAAGGTAATCCAACCCAGAACTCCTGCCCTTTTTAATTATGTTTTTAAATAGTACATTTTTCCAAGTTTATGTTATTAATGAATGAAGTTAGTGCTTTGTCATACATGTGCAACTTATGTTTTGCCATTTGCCATTTGACCTTTTAAAATTGGTTAATGTTGATTTATCTTTATCAAAACCAAGTTTTTTACAAGGTGAAATCTGTATGCTTTCTTTCTTGATGGCTTCTAGGTCTTATGAAATAAAATAATTTTTCCACCCTCAGGAGTCTGAAAGAATTTATCCATTCTTCTACTGGTTCTATCGTTTAATTTTTTTAACTTTGTATTTTTTTTACATAAAATAGGTAATGTTCCAGCAATATTACAAGGTTTGATGGAACCAAAAGCACCTAAATGTATGAATACCCAGGCATTGTGCTTATGAAACACAAAGGAATATAAATTGCAGTTTTTCACTGACCTGAAGTTTATTTTAGCATAACTAATGAAGTATAAAGCCAACTTTCTTTCTGAACAATTAGTATTTAGTTGTTTCAGCTTCATAGATTATTTGCTTTACAACATGTTAGACTTATTATGTATGTTAAATTGCTATTAATATTTGAGTTTATTTTTGTGTTCTAGGTGGAAAATTATTAATATTGCTTTCCCTTTATGCAACATAATAAAACTATGGTTTTATTGCCATAGAGTTGTTACAGGTCTTAGGATGTATTAATTGAGAATTTCCTTTTATTATACTTCAGATTATCCCTGGCTCTTCCATTATTTTTTTCATTGGGGAGTATATTTTAGTGATGTCTATTTTATAATAAGTAAATAAATATTAAACATAATTTTATAACAAATGCATTATAAATACATAAGATATAATAAATAATAAATATATACAATTATTTTCTAATAAGTATATAAATATATACATAAATTATATGCTAAATAATAAAAGGTCATTTGAATTTTGACTGAAATTCCATTGCATCTATAGATTAATATAGAGAAAGTTGACATTTTAGTTACGAAATAGGATAATCCTGTCTTATCCTAGTGATGTTTTTAATGACTTTACAATTTTGACCTGCCCAAGATTTTTTTCTAGTTTTTTAATGTTTATACCCCGAATATTTATTATTATTATTTTTGCCTTAGTAAGCTATAATATTTACTAGTTGACTATCTTAATTTACTTCAGTCAGAACTTCCCATGCCATCTGCAGTTCACAGGTGCTCAGGTCTGAGGGGCGGCCCGAAGACTCCAGATCATGTCTGACTGCATCAACTAAAAGCCATATGTCCACAATGAGTAATTGTACTATCCAAACTTGTTTAAGCTGCTTTCAGTGGTCATTATACTTTTATAATTTAATTAAATATGGTATAAATTTATCATAAGCGCAACATCTTATCATCTCATTCCTAATTCGGTCAAACTGGCAGGCTACCAAATGTAACATGCCCACACGGCAGAGTCTGGCAAACTCCCCATGGTGTACCCAATATGCCAAATACCAGTAACAATGATGGGTCTCATTCTCCTAACCCTGAAAAAGCCTTGAATATGGCACTTTAAAAAAAAAAAATCTCAGGGCTAGGACAAAGAAAACGTTACTGGCACCTGCTCGAGGCAATCGACGAACAACAGGGTGGTCGTGATCGTGATCGTGATGGTATAAATTAGTTTGATCGGATTGTGAAAGCAACGGATGGTCTTTAGTTACGTTAACCAGGGTTATCTTGAGAAGGCTCAGTTATATCTTTCAATGTTATTAAATTGTAGTTGGGCTAAATGGCACTAAAACTGTGGAGTCAAAGTTAAAAATCTAAAGATTCTTTAGTAATATCATTTTGTAAGTTCTTTAATTTTTTCTTCCATTTAAAATTAAAAAACTGAATCATAGACCATATAATAATGGTTGTAAAAGAGGATGTGGAACTTCAGTGAACGTATACATAAAATCAAGGTTGTAACTCTACAAAAATGTCTTTTGAGGTGGACAGACGGTAGACCGGTGTGAGTGCTTCTTTTTCACACTGCTGATGCTGGCTCAATCCTGAACTCACATACGCTCCCAAGCACCACCAGAAGTGATCACACAGCCAGGCGTAGTAAGCCCTTAGTGCAACTAGTATGACCCCCAGTTGTACAAAACAAAATAAAACAAAATTTATTTTGAAACAAAACAAAATATGAAAGTCTGCTAGAGCACGTTCTTTGCGTGTGGGAGACCTGGACTGGTCCTTGAGCACTGAGCCAGGAGTAGACCCTGAGGACACCACTGTGACCCTCCCCCCTCAAAGAAACAAAACAAAGAAGTAAACAAATAACTTACAGATTTTAAGAATAGCTGTTATTAACTATAAGAATAGCTGAATAGTTTGTGATTCTCCAATTTATGTTTTAAATTAACCAACCAGGTACTATACCTTGCATAGACCTAGAACAATGCTATAGTTGCAGGGGGCCCCGGTAACCACTCTCCGGCCCGCGGAGGTGGCCCGAGGATTGATCCGATGGTGCAAGGAGGGACCAACCGAATGAACACGAGACACAAGAGACAGAGTACAGTTTAGAAACAGAGAGAAAAAGGGACAGGCTTTATTGAGGGATACAGGCTGTTTATATAGGGTCCGGGCAGCTCAGTCAGGAGCAGAGGCAATATAACCATATACGGTAAGGTCAGCAACAAGAGCTTTACCTAACATTCAAGGTAGACATTTGCACATCAAAGGGTCTTGTGGCAGTAGGTGCATCCTGAGCTTTACATTTGTATATCAAAGGGTCTTAGGGAGTAGATGCATCCTGGAGGTTACTATAGATAAGGCCAGATAAGCTGTCAGCCTGATGTGTGGCTATAGATCAGGTATCTGCTGAGATCAGGAAGTCCTGGGAGACTGTCACCAATGTCTGTCCCAAGCAGTTCCTAACATGGGAACCATGGCCAGGGTCTATGAGAGGGCTCTGGGCTTCCCACATATAGTAGTTCAGGTTTTTATTTGCATGTACAGTATATATGTACATATGTATGTATATATACACAAATATAGATACATATATTTACACACACATATATACACACATATATGCATATACACATATGTATCCATATGCGGTTGGAATGATAGCACAGCAGGCAGAGCGTTTGCCTTGCACGCAGCCAACCTGGCCAACCCAGGTTCGATTCCTCCACCCCTCCCAGAGAGCCAAGCAAGCTACTGAGAGTATCTCGCCTGCACGGCAAAGCCTGGCAGGCTACCCATGACGTATTCGATATGCCAAACACAGTAACAAGTGTCACAATGAAGATGTTACAGGGCCCGCTCCAGCAAATAGATGAACAATGGGAGGACAGTGACAGTGATAGTGTCTATATGTGTGTATTGTCATTCTAAATAGTATTGAGCTATTTTGGGTTTGTCTTGACAATAGTTTAAAAGGAAAGCAACGAATTTTGCTTACTTTTCAATCATTTATTTCTTCTCCTAGTTTCTCAGGTTAACATTAACTCCTTGTCAGCTACTGTACATAGTCAAGTAACATGTTGTTTATACTTTCAGGTACATGAACTTTAAAAGCTTTTTATATGAGGCAATTGATTCTGTTTTAGTCATAGTAAAGTAGCTGGAACGTGATACCAGAGAAATAGTACAGGAGGAAAGGCACTTGCCTTTACTTCCCATCTAAAGCAGGACATATTCTCCATGACACTGCTGGAAGTAACTTCTGAGGACATCCCACCAAAAAGCATCCGAGAAAATAGTTGAGAAAAACTTACATATAGTGGAAACTTGGTGTTCCCCAAAGGAAGCAAGTCCAGTTTCCATGCAGAGATATTTATTTAACTTGAATAGGGCTCATTCTAAATATCTTACCCTAGAATAAAAGATTGAAAATCTATTGAATAAATATTCCCATTAAAACTGTAAAGTAAAAATGCATATAATATGGGTTAGCACCTTTTAAAAAGTAAAAAAAAAAACAGCACTCTTCTCCATTTTTGCTATTTTATCTTAATTGAATCATAATTGATACACAATATTTTAGTTTCAGGTTTATAGCATAATGTCTTGGCGTTCGTCTGCATTGTACAAGATTCATTTCATTGACTAACTTTTTCTTAGCCTCTCTCAAATTTGCAATGCCATATTATTATTCTGGATTATAATTCTCCAGATGTATATTATATTGCCTCAATTTATATTTTATAATAATTTTACTGTCCTTTTCCTTTTCTTTTGTTGCGATGAGTTGCAGTATGCACAGGCTGTGCTCATTCCAACTTAGACACTTGTGGAGTGTACACACATTTGCTTTTGTAGTGCTTGCTGCAGGTCACCATGGTGCTCACACACTGGCTCAGCAGGGGTCACACTCCTGGCCATGGTGCTTGGACATGTTTTAGCTGCAGTGCTTTCTGTGCAGGAGAGGGGACATTTCACCTTCACACACCCAGCTGCAGCGCAATGGAAATCACATACCCTGTTGCAGCACTGTGAGGCGCATGCTTGGTACATGTGAACGGCGCTGAGATTGAACATGGGGAACATGCCAGACAAATGATTTGACCCCTACGATACATCCTGTCTTCGAAAGTTTATCCTCTCAATCCCCTGCACCCATTCTTTTCTGCCCATCAGACCTCTACTTTTTTGGCTAATATGTTTTCTGCCTCTATAATTTAAACTTAGTGTGTTTGAATTCCTTTGATACTTTTTCTCTTTGATTTATTTGGTTTAGCATGATTTCATATGGAACAACGAAATTACTACAATGGCAGGACTTCATTTTTCATGACAGTTATTCTATTGTGACTTTCTATCACAACTTCATTACCCAATCATTTGTCAATGGATGCTTGTTTGTTACCGTATCATTGCTATTGTAAATCATAATACAGTGAACATAGGGGTCATACATATCCTTTCAAATTTGTGCCTTTGGAGCAGGGATGGGGGAGGGGCACGAATACCTTGAAATGGAATGCTGGATCCTATGGTGGTGCTATTTTTAATTTTTTATGTGGTTCTGGGGATTGAACTTAGTTCTAATGCATATAAGGCAGGTGTTTTCTCAATCAGCCACTTTCCCACTCGGCTACTTTTTTATTTTTATTTTTTGAGGAACTTTTATATTGTTTTCCACAAGGGCAGCACCGATTTCTACTCCCATCTACTGTTGGAGGTTCCCGTTTCTTCACATTTTTACCAATAGTTGTTGCTTCTCTTCCTAATAGGAATGAGGTAACATCTTATTATGGTTTTGATTTGCACTTTCTTGAAGATGAGTAATGTTGAGCATCTTTCATGTGTCCATTGGCTATCATTATGTCTTCTTAGGAAAAATGATTTTTCAATTATTCTGTCCAGTTTTCAACTGGCTTTTTTTGGTGAACCTCTCAGGCATGTTCAGAGGTTCTATCAGGGACACGCAGGCAGTGCA